TGCTGCGCGGGTGCCGCTGGTGAGACCCAGGCGGTAGCTACGTGTGTGTGTGTGTGTGTGTCATGCGCAGGTGCGCCGGGTTTGTCCGCACAGGTAGGAACACGCAGCGCTGTGTTTTACAGATAACTTTTTAAAGCTGAATCTGTTGGCAAGGTAATGATGTGAAAATGCCACCCCCCGAAACGTGATTCCCGAGCAGCGCTGGTAAGGCGCGATGTAATGCAAAACTTGCTGTTCCTCCGGAGGCAGGACACGCTGCCGAAGGTCCTGCAGCCAGGGCGGGATGGTGATGTCCTGTTGTACCCGTCCGGCCCTGCTGGCGCCCCCTGCGCCTCTCCCCTCCGGCCTGGCTCCTGAATCGGTCCCACCGGCACGCGGTGATTCAGGTTTTCCAGAAGGGCTTGGATACAGTTCACCTGACTCTGACAAGATGTCTCTGGCTTTCTTGCCTTTATTTGCACACTATGAGGAACATGGGAGTTTGCCAGAAATTGGCTTGGCAAGGAGTTTGGATAATTAATGTACCTGATAACCCACGAAGCATTTGATCACCAAGGAGAATTACCGTGGCCGTCCTTAAAATACCCAATTAGATTTTGAACAAGGTTAGTTGGCACGTAACTTCTTTACCAGGCAGCTAATGATTAGCATTGCCAATAGAAGTTTTCCTAGAAACCCAATGGAGGCAGATTGAAGTAAAATACTTGCACAAAATAATTAACACCCACCTTCCCAGTAGTCCGATCACAGCCGTACCAAGTCAATCAAAAGTATTGCAACAGATGCTGTGTCATTAAGTACCAGATGTACAGTAGTGGAGTTAATTACTAACTTCACTGGAAGCTGAAAAGTAAAAAAGGTGAGGTCAGTTCACCAATTTTAGTTGGGGTCTAACATGCAGCTGATACATGTTTTGCTGGCTGCTTGTTATTTTGGCAAGAGCCTAATAAAAAAAAAGAAGAAATGTGAGGTTAACTGAGTTCCCTTTCTTTTTTTCCTGCATAAAGAGATTTGAAAAAATATAGACATTCTTTCATTAGAATTTCTTTCAAAGAACACAGAAATTCTTACATTTGTAATTCCTGAAGAGACTCTTCTGTACTCTAGAAGAGATGATGATTCTGCCTCACTTCTAAAACTATTTTTCTCTAGGTTTCTAATTTCCTATCCAAAACCAAATGGAATTACTAAACTATTTAATATTATTTTATCCAGTTGAATAACTGAGTTTGCCTTGTCTGGTTTTGTTATTATAAATATGAAACAGGAGGCAAACAATGCTTCTGAAATACCATAGACAGATCAATGGATACTACCAGTGTGGCGATCAACGAGGATTTACATGGTCAAGGGCTCTGGACGAAGATTTCTATTGATAAACACTGAAATCTGAGGAAAAAGAGAGAGAACAAGCAAAGGAGAATCAATAATAGCCTATTCAGTGTGGGGTAGCTGAGTACATAAACCAATTTATCATGAATTACTATGTCTCATGGCATGCAGATGCAGCATCTTGAGACAGAAATCTCAAATGCTTATTTATGGGCATCACAACCATTATTTACCAATCACTAGCAAGGAATGGAGAAGCACCCTAAATGGCAGGGAACTGTTTATGTATTTCAGAACATCCAAACTGCATGAAACAGCTTTTTGCCTATGGCAAAGACTACTACGTGTAGCCATAGTGAATAGGTGAGATCTTGTTTCTCACTGAGTGATTTCATTCAACATAGTTGGAATTGCATCCTGAGGTTTAATTTTGAATAATGGTTATTCGGTAGCTATTTTAAGCCTGTATTTCATTAAATCAAGACAGTTTAAATTAAAAAAATAGAAAAATCTCCTTCACATTCAAGTTGCTAAACTCCTACCTCATAAAGATTATTATTTATATATATCATGCTTGTACAGGGGCCTCTGTGCCTCAGCTTATGGCTAGGGAGCAGAGGTTGCTCATGTATCTATCCCTGTGAAGATCTCTATGCTCATGAGAAAAGGAAGGCTGGCTACTGTATTGGGGTAATTTCCTCTTTTGCAAAAAGTCCAGAACCTTGTTGTGTAAAGCATATTATCTTGTCATTAAAAATCTTAGAAAGTTAAGTTGTTTTGCCACATTAAAGGTCATCGGGAAAAATGGGGACTGAGTGGCTACAACCTTTTAAGATTGGGAGTCTGCTTTATGGAGACACTTGAAAAGTTTCTTGCTCTTAAGCAGTTCTCTGTAAAGACAGGCAACTGGATTGAAATATAGATCTTTGGAAACTTTTTTGCCTCTTTCCTGTTTATTTAAAAGAAATAAGTGACTGGATTACTTGAGCCATAACACTACATCATGATTAAATTCTCCAATGTTACTGCCTAGCAAGAAATCTGTGATGCATAAAAGCTAATATACAGTGAATATGTAATATTCACTGGTAATATAAAGCAAATATAAAGCAAATGTTAATATTTTTAATCTGAAAATCATTAAATATTTCAAGTTCATACAGTGGAGGAAACTTGCAGTGTCCCCAGATCAGCATCAAGAGCTGAAGTAATTACTTAAAATAGTTTATATTACTCTTTGAGATTCCCATAACATCCTGCCTTTTGTATCTTTCACTCAGCATAGCAAGGTTTTTAAAAAGGAAAGACTGTTTTGATTTTATATTTTTTATGATCCTACATATT